TACTCCAAATCTGTGCCTCCATAGTTAAATCAGTTTTACATGGTCCCAGGGAGGGTGGAGCACAGAAATTCCCCACGGCGAGAAGAGGTCTTCTCGTTGTGGTAAAAATGAACAGCTGTAGTCTGTGGTAGAATTCTCTCCTTCCATGCGGAAGACCTGGGTTGGGCTCCCAGCCAATGCACCTCATGTGCAGCTGCCACCTGTCAGTTAGTGGAGGTTTGCGTGCTGCTATGATGCTGAATAGGTTTCCATGGGCCTTCAGACTAAGATGGACTAGGAAGAAAGGCCTGGTGATCTACTTCTGAAAATCAGCCAATGAAAACGTCATGGATCACAAAGGTCTGATCTGTAGCTGATCCTGGGAATGGTTCCACTGTGTATGGAGTCGCCATAAGTCAAAGACTGGCTCGACAGCAACCAACAACAATCACCCAAGAGATGTGCGAGAGACAGTAAAATGAAACAGAAACAATGCTGGGGTGAATTCGAAGATTCTCTAATGTGTTAGGATATAAAAAGCCACCATATGTCACTGTTAAAGCCTGCAGTTTATCAGCGCGATGGTACATGCGTTAGCACACGAGAAAACACGCACAGACGCACATTACCTTGATACTGTTCTTAAACAGGAACCCTGGCATGGAGAAGCCTTTTTTTTTATCGAGCGGTTCGCTGAAGATGACGATCTGCTCGAAGAGGAACACCCGTCTCTCCTTGCAGCGAGGCAGGAGTCCTGTGTCCTGGTCTGTGACCAAGAACGTGTCCTGCAAGAGCAGTTTACCCTGGGCAACAATTTTACCCTACGACAAGGAAAAGGGGGTTAAGATAGCCGAAGTGCTGTTACTTTAGATGTCCTCCCACAGAATTATGTCTTTCTTCTATTCATTTACAGAGCTTGAAAAAAAAAAAAAGCCCCTTTCCTTTTCTGTAATGAGTTCTTAGCCTCAAAGAGAACAATTATCTACACTAACATCCTTGCCACCCTTTGTATAAACCACCGGGCTCATTTACAATCAAATACGACGGCTGGGATCTTAGTGTCTGGTCCAACTAGTCCGCAGACCAGTGGCATCAGCATCACCGGCAGGAACTAGTTAGAAATGCTAGTTAGTAAAGAAACTGTTTTAACCCTCCTGCTGATTCTGTCGTGTGCTTAAGTTTGAGAACCAGAGGGCTCGAACTCTAAACCCTAATTCACTAGAAGAACAGTGGGCAAGAAAAGCACAGCTCTCTCCCGTCTCCTTACTGAATAGCTCTGAATATCTTTAGGGTACACAGCAGGTACTAGGTAAGGTTAGCAGCCTGGCAACGCAAACAAGTTTGTGAGACTAACGATGAACACAGTGGCCCTCAAGTCAGGCTCTCAGGGGGTGACAGACAGTTTGGGGCCTCCCTGGGCCTACTCTCTGCCAAGCTAACAAGGTTTAAGCACCAGGGGAAGAAACTCGGCTCTTAACAGCCAAGGGACCCAAGACGCTAACACAGTCCTGCTGGTTTCTGCAGTGAGGCCCTGGGCTTTGAAGCGGGGCAGCTCCCCAAAAAGCAAATCAAATGCACATAAAAGAAGTTGAGAGGAATTATCAATCAGTTGAAGTGAAGTGAAAGGACAGAAAACCAAGCAAAAAGATGAGCTTTCTATATGTGGGGATAAATAACCCAAGACCAAACAAGGTGATGGAAGACAGGGGAGCAGTTTTCCAGAATAGTCTCTGCATTACATCAAATCCTTGCAGACGCCCCACATTCATCATGTCGTTGCACCGCTTGGGGACGATGCACATGACTTCTACGGCTCTCTGTTGGGGGAGAAAGCAGAGTCAAAGTTGTTTCCTCTGAGGGAAAGCTAGTGTGGTAACCCTAAAACACAGTTCGAGGTCCGATTCCTCTCCCTCCTGCCATCTTGCGGCAGAGGCCCACGGAGAGGCCCATGGCCACTGCCCGCTAGGACGACCCTCCCTTGCAGGGAATAGCTACATGCCTCTGACACACATGGGGGTCCAGGGGAGCCTGGGGAGAGCCAGGAGGGAGACTGGGGGGAGGGCACGGCGGGGAGGGTACGGTACCTCTAGTTCTGATGTGTCCAGGCTAGCTTTTTTGGAATACTTGAGGAAGTCCTGCAAGGTAAACGGGGAGAAGGAGCATGATGGCAGTGATGACAGCAGCAGACAACCAGCCTTTCTGATCATTCACTGTGTGCCAGGCACCGTGCCAAGCACGTTAGCTCTGTTTGCTCTTTTCACTCTCCCAGTAACGCAACAAAAACGTACTCTGGCGTGGATTTCAAGCTGTGGCACAGCAGAGCCTGGCCAAATCTATCTAAGCACGCAACGGTTCCTATTTCACACCTAGACAAGCTCTTGTCTCTCTCCGTATCCAGGTCCTAGTTTCATATGACAGAATCTCGATACATTTAAATAGTCACTTTTTATCATGGAAAAATGTGTGATTTTGCCTTGAGTTGTGTTTAAGAATTTCAATAAGTCAGGGGCTACTGCTAAATCAAAAGAGAGGACAAGGCAGGGATTAAAATGTTTATTTTATGGAGGACTCCAAGAAGATTAGAAACTATTTAAGGTCAACAGAGCTGAAGAAAGTTGTCTCAAAGAAAATTATTAGTATTCAAAGGTGGGGAAAAACGTTCACTTTTACTGACATTTTGATTCAGAACTTGATGTAAGTGAAAAATTGAGAAAATAGTATAAAAGGTGTTATATTAAAATTTTTACAAATTTACTGTGAAATATTTAAACATCAAAAATGATAAGACTGAGTTATTTACAAAAAATCTCCCCTCACCCTACCCAAACCCTCCCTCCTCGTCCTCCGGCAAACCTGCGACAAGAGAGTCTGCATCTCCCACTTTCTTACCTTCAGTAACAGCTGATACTTCATAATTCTCTGCACTGGTTTTATTAACAAATCTGTGAGCTGCAACCTGTGGCCAAGGCGCTGCTTTAAGTCCTGTGGTTTTAGAGGCGAAAAAACGATGTTCAGTTTTGTTTCTTAAAGGGGAGTTCTTTAGTCCTTGCGCTCGCCAGAAAGGCTAACTACAACGTTGCCAGCGAAAGTCACAAGAGAAGAAGCTGCCACTCAGCACCCCTACCGCCCAGTGTGAGGGCACTTCTCAGGGTTTCTTCTCAGGGTCTCTGAGTTTCACACTTTTACCTTTCGGCATATTCTTCAAGGCAGTTGTTAATGCTTACGTAAGGCCTTCTTTCAATTGCTCTCTTTTACACATAAACATATATTTTACTTAAATCTCAGAAGAGATTAAAAGTTTAGATCAAGGACTATTCTGAATTGGTCATGAGCTCTCCATTTAAAACTGATTAAAACACTTATTTTAACTAATGGACCACAACTACCACGGCCTCCACCAGACTGAGTCCAGCACAACTAGATGGTGCCCGGCTACCACCACTGACTGCTCTGACAGGGATCACAACAGACGGTCCTGGACAGAGCTAGAGAAAAATGTGGAACAAAATTCTAACTCACCAAAAAAGACCAGACTTACTGGCCTGACAGAGACTTGAGAAACCCTGAGAGTATGGTCCCTGGACACCCTTTTAGCTCAGTAATGAAGTCCCTCCTGAGGTTCACTCTTCAGCCAAAGATTAGACAGCCCCATAAAACAAAACGAGATTAACTGGGCACAACAGCCCAGGGACAAGGACTAGAAGGCAAGAGGGGACAGGAAAGCAGGTAATAGGGATCCCAAGGTCGAAAAGTGAGAGTGTTGACATGTTGTGGGATTGTTAACCAATGTCATAAAACAATATGTATACTGTTTAATGAGAAACTATTTGTTCTGTAAATCTTCATCTAAAGTACAATTAAAAACAAACAAAAAAAACCCACTTATTTTAACAATGACCCCAGCCTTCTGAATGCCAAAGGATGTGACCACAGACTGAATTCACACTCATTTCTCTGATTTATAGGCAGGAAGTAGAGGCTTAGAACTTTTATCACTGAGGCTGATATCCTGAGAACTGCGTTAACACCTGGGGAACAAATGATATTTTAATTTCTGGAAATCTAATGTAATAAAAGATTCAGAAAGATGTTCCATTTCTGTCCTGGGTCTTACCTCAAAGAAGGTATCAATGTATTCTGAGACGATGTGCTCAGACTTTGGTTTATTTTGACAATAAACTATGTACATGTGCAACCTTCTCTCCTAGGAATGAAAAAGACAAACGGATGGGTTAAAACGATCGCAGGTTCAACAGAACACGAGAACACACACACGTTTCGGCACGTTAATGAGGAAATTAAAGCAAAGCTGCACAACCGAGGTCACCTTCTGCTTCAGGGCACCGTGACGGCCCTCCCTCGTGGCTCCCGAAGGTGTGCCACACCCCTTACTTGACACAGCAAACACCAGAGACAGCCAAAGAACACACTTCTAAATATTATGGGAAGAACTAAGCCCGCCTTCCCAAACCTGCCAGTAGTCCTAGCGAGTCTGGTTGTTTTCAGTAGGGAACGACAAAAAACAAAAACAAAAAAAACCACCAAAAACCAGGTGTTGAAGTCAATTCCGACTCATGATGACCCCATGTGTGCAGAGCAGTACTGCTCCATAGGGCTTTCAAGGCTTGACCTTTCAGAAGTAGATCGCCAGGGCTGTCTTTTGAGGTGCCTCCGGGAGGGTTCGAACCACCAACCTTTCCGTTAGTGTTCAAATGTTGACTTGTTCGCGCCACCCAGGGACAAGAGAAAAAAGTAGAGTGAGCAATCCCTTAACCCAGTGATGCTCAAAGTGTGATGTGCAGACCCCTGGGGATTCCCAAAGCCCTTCCAGGGGATCCGTGAGGTCAAAACTATTTCAAAATAAGACTAAGCTTCTGTGTGCTCTTCTCACTGTGCTGGTATTTGCACTGATGTGCAAACCAATGGTGGGTGAAAGTGCTGGCACCTGAGCATGCATTCACCACCACACACTCTGAGTAAAAAAACAAAAAAGCCAGCTCCACTTAAGAATGTCCTTGATGAAGTAATGGAGTGCTGGTTGCACAGTGGTTAAGAGCTCGGCTGCTAACCAAAAGGTTGGCAGTTCAAATCCACCAGGCGCTCCTTGGAAACCCTATAGGGCAGTTCTACTCTGTCCTCTAGGGTCAGTAAGAGTTGGAACCAACTCAACAGCAATGGGTTTGGTTTTTTTTTGATGAAGTAATAAAATGAAGTAATCATGCATTTCATGAAATCTCAACCACTGGGAACGCATCTTTTTAACCTTCTTGCGTCAAGGTGGGAAGTCTGTACAACCCTTCTTCCCCAGGCGATGGGTGTCTAAAGGAAAAGCACTTGTGCCACTGAGTTGTGAGTGGAGCCAACGGCTTTTTCCATGGAACACTGCAGGGACAGGTGGACACAAACTATGCTTATTCACACTTGGGTATCTGGTAGATATTTTCCTGAACGTGGATGAAATAAGCCTGTCTTCTCACGGTAGATAACTGGCAGTGTTTGTTAATAACTTAAAATTTGAACTTTCAAGCATAAAAGTAGAATGCTGTAAAATGTGCATCTGCCACTGTGAACTTGGGTGTCTTCCCAATACTTACAGGCTTTTCTGATGAGATGGGTGGGGGGTTTCTGACACTGTGTAATGAAATGTGTCAACGCTTAAAAGATCCGGCTGACTCAGTGCACCAATATTTTCCAGTGACCAATGTGTGACTGTACAAAATCTGATGGATTTTACGGTAACAACAGGGAGAAAGAAACTTTTCAGATTCTACGTTACAACGTACTTTCAAGAAATTATCACTTGTTGAGTTTTTGTGTCATGTGAAAGAAAAATATCTATTATTATCTGAAAAGACTATTAAAATATGCCTCCCTTTCCGACTATATATCTGAGTGAGGCTGGATTTTCTTCATGTATTTCAACCAAAACAAGAGATCACAATGGATTGAATGAAGAAGCAGCTAAGAAAACTCAGCTGTCTCCTATTAAGCCAGGCCTTAAAGAGATTAGCAAAAATACAAAAGTTCTTACCACTATTTTTTTTTAAATAAAGTGATTTTTAAAAAATCTTTAACACTAACACACTTATTTTAGGTATACACATACATGTGGCTATTACGATAAACCTATGGCATGTATAGGCACATCTGCCCTGAACACCTGTTTGCCCACAGATATCCCCAAACATTCTAGCTTCAGGATTCCCACTGGTACCCTCTGGCCAAACTGTATGGATGATAGCTAAATACACACCTGGGGCCCAGGTGACCAGGACAGCAGGTAATTCATATGTAGAAAAGCTAGAAGGGATTTTAGTGCTAACTCACCAACGATGCACGGTTTGATTATGTATATTCTCAACATGGGCATGTTTATCAACTACAAGGGACTTCTTTAATCTGACGGACCAATTACGAAACGTGACAGTCTGAGAATAGAATATAAACAGTGCTATTGTACTTACGTGCTTAACAAAAAGGGACCCTAGTTTTTCCGGATCTTCAAGGCACTTCTCCAACTCTCCTAAAAAAAAGCTGAAAACAATAGGGAGGATATTAGGACCATTTACAATTAGTCTTCTAATTTTAGATTTAGGTTTACGTTTTTAAAACACCATGTTTTGACATGAATAACTGGGAAGCACAAAGTACATACTTAACAAATGTAACGGACACAGAAAATATTTTATTAGGACATTGCCTCCCAAACCTTAAAACAAAAAGAGATACGTAGTTAAAAAAGACAAGGCAGAATTAGAGCATGCCTTCGCTGGCAACCTACCCTTCCTCTGGACAAATAACACTTTTCTCTTAGGTTTTCTCAATGAAGAACGTTTTTGTTTCCGAAAACCTGGTCCTTGTACCTGAGTTTCATATTCATTCCGTGATAATTTTTAAAGGACTCCAATTGGATAATAATAGGTATAAAATACTGAATATGTTACTTGTTCCAGCTTTATAACGATTTCTCAAATATAATGAAAATCAATTTCTAGGTTACAAATACTAGTGCCCCAATAAGATTAAAATATAATCGCAGTACAGTAAAATAGCAATAAGAAAACTGCTCTTTATTTATTCTGGGCTGTAGTCTTCTTCAAAATGTTTGGTCACCTTAATTATCACTTGCATATGTTTATATTTATGTCTGGTATTTTATTAACCTGCAAACCAGCATACCAATTAACGTTACGTTGAATTTCCTAGCAGGTGGGGTGTTATTACCCCTAGCTCTGCAGCAGACAGAGGCGTGTGCTAGGATCCGGACAGCCATCACTGAAGGCAGCTTCTCTGTCTGGTCATCCCAGGGGTCTTTGCCCTTTCCCCCTCCCTGCCACAGCCGTAAAAATCAGCCAGAGGAGTAGAAGACTAAATAACAGCACAAAATACCACTTTTCAAATTGGTTTCACGGTAAACTCTGGTAAAGTCTACAGTCTATGAAGTTGTAAACTGGAACGCTGTTTCTAAAGTGGACCATCACTTATCTGTGAGTCCATCTGAATCAGACATTACAGGCTGCTCGTTACTGCCGAGTCGACTGCAACTCCTGGCGACCCCGTGTGTGCAGAGTAGAACTGCTTCACAGGGTTTTCAAGGCTGTGGCCTTTGCAAAGCAGATCGCCAGGCCTCTGGGTGGGTTCGAACCACCAACCTTCTGGCTAGTCTAAAAGCACTGAACTGTTTGTGCTAGCCAGGCGTGTAGACATTACAGGGGACATTAAATAAAGAACCTATACCTGGGTTCAAGGGTCCTACATTTCATTAGGAGAGATAACAAAAGTGCAGAAAAAATATCAAGGCCAGAACACTGCTTGATACGTGCCACGATAACATCTCCTGTTTGTAGAGTATTTCAGTATAAACAGCGCAGTCACATATGCTAACTAGAAGGAGAAGTACGTGTCTGATTGGAATGTTCCGGTCTAATGCAGAAAGGAGCATTTGACCCAGCTTTACAGAGAGGGTGGGATTCTGAAGGTGATGACAGTGTGCTCCGAGCGAGGGAACAGCAACACACAGAGGGATGGGAGGCAGGAGGCATGTCCAGATCATGCGGAGCGGAACACTGCAGCTGGAACATTCCACTGTAATGTCAGCGGCCAGCACTAGCAATCCCCAGATGAGAAAGGATTGTTAAAATTAAGAGCAAGGCACCACATCAGGACTGGATGTGTGATGACAGACTCTGGCAGCTGAGGCACAGCCCCCGCCACGGGTCTCCTGGATGGTGTGGCCAATGCATGGGGACCAAATCTGATAGTTCATGCAAAATCACATCTCCTTTTCCCATGAAAATAGAGGAGGAGAAAAGAATCTATCTTCAAATTCCTCTAACAGTAACTTGTGTTTAATCAGAGGGTAGCTATAATTCTAATGTTAATTATAAACATTTATTGAGGCTTACTCAATACATGTATTCACTTGGTCACTCTTCACAAAACCTCTGGGTGATATTCTGGATCCACACTGTGTGGATGGAGAATGGAGGCAAAGAGAGGTGAAGCCAGCAGCTGCAGGTCAGGACCAGGCTGTGAACCCAGCAGTCTGGCTCGGGACCTCTCTGCATGGGCCAGCAAGAAGAGGCGGGACCTCTGTCCCACGCCACGACTTAACAAAACTTCCCGCTAGGCCAGCATTTCCTTTGTACCAGCCACCTGCATGAGGCCACACAGGGAATCAGTGAGATGAATCCAACATCCTTTGTCATCGCCTGACATGATATAGTACGGCAAGTGTCTGTGCTGTGTACACCGTTAAGCACGCTATGTACTGTACGTACTCTCTGTGCCAGTCGTAAATCTGATGGATGTTGCCAAACACAATCTTGTCTTTTCCTTTCATGTCATCGGGAACACCATCTTCTTTCATAAGTGCCATGTAGCCCTGTAATTGGATATTCAACTGAGTTTATTTCATTGCATGTTTGAACCAAGTAGTTGCTTACTGTTTAATAGTCCAAAGGACAAAATAGTCACTGTCTTGTAACCAGTTCTTTTATTTAGAAATAGACAAAGATTCTACATGGAAAGTGTCCTAACTGGCACTTGAAGTTCACTGCTACTACAGTGAATGCTGCAATTTCCTCTCCCTGCACTGTTGAGCACCCAAAGAGCAGAATTCTTCTCAAGAACTGACGAGGTTTCAATAAATGCAAGTGGCTTCATAAAGTAAATCCTCTTATCAGCTTGTAAATATTACATATTTGGTCAGGAACATATTTCCTCTGTTCTCAGTATTTATCTCAAACAGATTTTTTCTTCCCATTTCAGATTATTTACATAACCTGTTAAATAAGGAATTAACTTTTTTTGTTTTAAATAAACTGAAGTTTTAACAATGATTGATTAAACAAGTTGCTAAAATGTGGTTTAAACTTCTATTTAGCTCAGATGGAATTTGGCTTGTATAAGAACCTCTTAAATATTCAGGTTACTTATTTTAATGTTAACGACTGCAGATAAATCAGGCACGTAATTCTTTTATGTTATATGATTAACAGTATTAGCCATTACTTTTAATGGAATGTGCACCTAAAAACAATTTTACTGTACATATTTGCAAAGCTGAAAGAATAAACGATGACATTTTATAGGATAAAAATGGCTTTTCAACGGGTTGAGCTTATTGATATGGTTATAACTTGACCTAAAAGGCAGGGATAATCCTAGAGAGGGTACCGATCCAATACCAAAGGCAGCCGTTTTGCTCTGGCTACAGAGCACTTAGCGACTTTTGATCAATCTAAATGGTGACACATTCATTCTGTGCAAAACTCTGAGCAAATGACCTGGTGTAGCCCCAGGCCAAGCTCTGCGCCACACCGACTCTTTTCAACCAAAATGTTCTCAGTTTTGTGGTGAAACTCAGTCTACAAAGTAGTTAAAGACAAGACTCTGACAGAATAAATACAATGGTTGGCTACCATAATTTAAAAACTTAATTGTACACAGAAACTGATCACATAGAGATGCACTGTGCAAAAAAGAAGTATGTACTAGAATACAAATTGTTTAGATAATAGACTAATGCTATTTTTCAGAAAAGCCTTATGAGTTGCTTATTTTATTTTGCTCAAATGTTTTTAAAGCTTTCGAGAAGGTATCAGTGTTAAACGGTCCCTAACACCACCTCTTTGGACAACTCTTGAGGCCGTTATAAGGTTATTAAATCTCTGGAAATATATACCTCAACCACGTAGCCAAGGTCCCGTACATAGTCACGCTCTGTCTCCACTAATTCTTGCAAAACATAGCTGGAAAGAGAGAAAATGATGTTTACAACCCAAACTCTTTTTGATTTCTAAATGAATTCTCTTGTACTTTTGCTTCTGCCAGGACAGGTCCGTGTTGGGACTGAATATTAACATATCAGACTTGCAGGATGGGGCCCTACACCACTCACAGGTTCAGCAGGTGGCCCACGAGAACTGCGGAGTCACCAGGCACACAGAGACATGCACACAAGCGCCATCAGTGGGTGTTCATCCCGCCAGACTTGGGTCCGATGCACAGACAACAAAAGAAGCTTAGGCCTAACTTTGCCATAAAGGTAGGACATTAAAGGAAGCATTTTTTTTTTTTTTAATAAAAAAACAATTTAGTCATTTGAAGCTCCACTGGACATAGAAGAAAGCCTTTTACCTCAGATATTTAAAGCCTTGGGTCTGATGGCATCACTCAGAAAAGCTTATATTTTGCAAGGTTCAGTGACCACGTAAGGCTACTCAGCCATTAGAAGACAACCACTTAATCAGTAGAGGAAACAAACTCAATCGGCCTGAAAAAGCTGGTTGGTTGGCGGGTCGTCCATTTACTCGACACAGATAGGGCACCTACTATGTGCCTAGCATCATTCTGTTGTTAGATGCCGCCAAGTCGTTTTTGACTCATAGCGACCCCAAATGACACAGTAGAAACGTCCCATAGGGTCTTCTAGGCTGTAATCTTTAGGGGAGCAGATCACCAGATCTTTCTCCTTCAGAGCTGCTGGATGGGTTAGAGCCGCCGACCTTTCAGTTAGCAGCCGAGCACTCAACCGTTGTGCCACCAGGGCTCCTCAGCATCACTCTAGCACCATGGATACAGCACCAAATAAAACATAGTCTCTGTCCTCACAAAGCTTGCAAAGTCTTTACCCGTCTCCAAAGGCAAGCTTGAACCCTCTGTTATACTTTTCAGAACTCTTTTTTCACCATCAGCTGCTTTGCTGGAACTGAAGAACACTACAACTAAGGTATATTTGGAAAATGTTCACGTTTTCGGGGCTGTATCTAATTTTATGTTGCCTTCTTTTTCCTTCACAACTATGCACACAATAGAAAGCACAGCAGCTTCTCACCAGCAGTGGTAGAAGATACACTTGCCTTCTACCATGCTTATTTAGAAATATAGTATGATATACAAACAAAACAATGAAAACCGCAGCTATGGCTTACGGAGCTCTTTGCAGATCCTGAGTGCTTTTCAAACATGCACACACACGTGCGGGCCCATACTCGTCGTATACATGCACACACGTGCACACACAGGCACATGCGTGTGAGCACACAGTTACTCAGCAAGGGTCCCTGCCTCTCCCCCATGGTACCAATCAGAGCGGAATCTCAGTCTCACTCTTAAAGGTGACAAAGACAGGAGGGTGCACCAAACAACGACAATGAAAACATTTCTGTCTTACTGCCGTCTCTTTAGAGAGCTGGATTTCCTCTCTTCCATCTCATCAATGGGCGAGGAGGAGGAGAGAAGGGAGTTGTCGGAGGGGTTGAAGGAGGGGCTGCTACTGTCTCCCTGGTCGACGAGCAGCGAGCTGGGACGGTCCTCCAGCGCCTGGAAGAGAAGGAGGCTGTCAGCATTGCTCGCTGCCCACAGCCTGTGACGGGCCCGAGACAGGACGAGAAAATCTCACGAGTCAGAAAATACAAAGAAAATGCCCTTAAATCATGAAATCCATGTTTGTGAAATTACACAGTATTTCACTACACACACACACAAAAACCCCACAATTAAGAGAAAAACTAAGAGCAGCTGGATAAGGAGGGAAAGTTAGAATGAAAAGGATAATGAATTTATCCACATTAATGGATTCTGTTCTTTCGTACCAAATAATTAGAAATAATACAAGTTGCTTACATCAGTGCACTGCACCCATGTCTGGATATAATTTGCAGTTTAAAAATCACGTATTTGAAATCTAGCAATTTTCTTGTGAGTTGTATTCCTGCCAAATGAAAGCGTGACCATTTCAGAAGTGTGTGGAATCTCCTTGATCAGGTCACCTTCCCGGTACTCAGGTGCCAACATTCCTCGTTGACGGGTTATACAGCAACACTACCAGCAGTCTGTATTTTAGCTTAAACAAACTTAGTTTGTTCCTTGATTATCCATGAAGCCACAAGCACTTCATGAAGCCCACTGTCATACTTCAGCGCACACAGGTCGCCCAGCTCAAACTAATTTTCGCCTTGTGACACTTGAAACATCCTTCTATCCCTTCCATGGGCAGACATCATCATGCTTGCACCTATCACTTATCCAAAACCTCTCTCCCCACTGGATTTCAGTTTCTGCAGGTGATTGTTTTCACTGTCGTATCCTCTAGAGAACCCACCATAAAGCTTTGCAGGAATTCAACAGATCTGTGAACTGAATACTGATTACTACTCTCTGTGGAGCAACAAGGTGACAAGGCTTGATTACCTTCTAATTGGTACATACTATTTCTGTTTCCTGACCTGGATCCACAAAGCTCCTAGGGGAAGGAGCTCACAATCCTTTCAAAATTTTCATAGTACTGCTGGACACAGACTGATAATCAAAAGGTACTTACTGACTGAATTGGAAAAATGTGACTTTTCTTTGGACAAAAAACACAATACAAACTGTAAAGTTCACTTAAGACTTCATTTCAAATTCAAGCCTCAAATTTAAGTCCACTTAATACTTCGTATCAAATTGAAAAATCAAATACCTGTCCTATTTTACCCCCTAACGGTGAGGGACTGAACCTGTCCTTCTGACTAAGCAATTCAGTCTTGCTGAAGAAAACCCACAGAACTGGAAAAATGTACCGCCTGCTACTCTCATTTATGACAAACAGCACATTAAGTTGGAGAAAGTTCGATTCAAAAATAGCCCTATTTTAAACAAACAGACATTGACCTTTACTGGAAACAAATATTTTACTGTAAGTAGCAGAGTTTGAGTCATGTTGTCAGACCATGTGGCTCTGACAGGGGAATCGATGTCTGGGAGGATGAAGGGAGAATGCTTTGTGTTGTAGTCTGTCTAGACTTGCAGGGACAAAGCTGAAGTTCATTAGATTAAATCCTATTCACTTAAACAGTGAGAAAAAGGAAAAGAAAGGCTCCAGGAGAGCGCATGGAGGTGAAGCCATGGATTCACTGGTGTCTGTGAGGACCTGTGAGCTACAACTGATGTGATGGCTGTTTGGATCTCATGCATCTTAATGTGACTGGTCTGGCTGGACCAAGGTGGGCAGCCAGAAGGTGTGGGCGCCCTGACGAGGAGGCAGTCATGGTTGTACGTTCTCATCACATTTCTGACGTTTGCTATCTCGACGCTGCCCATTTGCCTTTTATACAAACGATGTGCGGCAAAAAAGGCCATCGCCAGGACAAAGCTAACGCGGAATCGGAATTACTGGGACTTCACAGCTTTGGATGGATGATTTGTGATACCCTCTGAATTTGGTTGTTTCTTAACCAAAAGGGTAGGTCTTTGGTAACTTTCTGTTTCTTATATGAAAATATGACCACAGAGATATTCTATTTCTCCTAAGTTTGTTGTTAGCTGCCACTGAGTTGGCCCACAACTCATGGCAATCTCATATGCAATGAAATGGAGTGAAACAAAACGCTTCCTGGACCTGCACCATCCCCATGATCGGCTGTGCTCCGCAGGGTTTATATTGGCTCATTTTCAGAAGCAGATTGCTAGGCCTCTGTTCCTACTCTGTCTTAGTTTGGAAGCTCCACTGAAACCTGTTCAACATCCCAGCAACAAACAAGCCTTCACCGACAGATCTGTGGTTGCTGTGGTTTTGATGAATTTGTATTTTCTTAGGAAGCTATCCATTTCATCCAAATTTTTAAATTTATTTTCAAAGAGTTGAAGAAAGTAATGGGTCATGACTGTTTGAATTTCCTCAGTTTATTGCCCTTATAATTTCTTATTTTACGAATTTGTGTTTCCTTTCTATTTTTTTTCCTCTGAACAATTCCATTTGTATAATATTCCCATTTTTAAACTATCTTTACGTATTTTCTGGGGCAGCTGCATTCCTGCTAATTACATATTCCGATTAATAGTATATAAAGCTGTGTCTGCCATATAGAGTACATCCATTTTTACTGAATAAGAATATAAAATATGCATGGTACAAAAAAACCTTGTGGTTTGAGTAACTGAATCCACAGTGCTTTTTCCTTTGGGCCATTGTTTTGGCCGTCAGTTAGTGTTGTACAGTAGACATGGGACCTGGAGGTTACCGGAAAGCTACAAGTCTATATTTTGCTATGAATCAATCATACTCTAATCCCTGATGCAGCCGTTTTACTTTGTTAAAGTGTACAACTCAGTGGCAGCTGTTGTACAACCACTACCCCTATGTAGTTCCAAAATACTTTCATCTCCCCAGAAGGAAACCCCTACTCATTTAGCAGTTACTCCTCGTTACCTCATTCATCCAGCCCCTGGTAAATACTAATCTGCTTTCTGTCTCTGTCAATTTGCTTACGATGGGGTTCTGTTCCAATGACTCTGTTGTAAGTCAGTTGTGATGTAAGTCGAATGCCTCGGTCTTTTTTTTTTTTTTTTTTTTTCATTACAGGTAGTCCCGGACTTATGACATATTTGAGTTACGACAAACCACACTTAAACAACCATCCATTTTTTTTTTTTTTTTAGCTTTCATTACTAATGCCTTTTATTATCAGTATCCAGCAGTGTTTTGAAAAGTAAACCATAAAACTGAACATCTGCAAGTGAACATCTGAGCATGACAACCTCAGCAAATTATGCGTTGCAACATATTACTAACGATAAAATGTAAAACAAAAACGAAATGGATGGTTTTAAGTGTGGTTCGTGGTAACTTGAATATGCATTCTAAGTCAAGGACTACCTGTAAATGGAATTATACAATGTGCAGCCTTTCGTGTCTAACTTCTTTCACTTAGCATACTGTTTTCAAGGTTAACCTATGTTATAGCATGTATCAGTACTTTGTTCCCTTTTTTACTGCTGTAGTTTAAATGTTTACATTTCAAGTTAGTCTCGCATACAAAAATTTATATATACCTTGTTATGTGACTCTAATTGCTCTCCCCATACTGTGACAGCACACTCCTCCTTTCCACCCCTGATTCTCCATGTCCATTCAACCAGCTCCTAACCCTCTCTGCCCTCCCATCTCACCTCCGGACAGAAGCTGCCCGTTTAGTCTCTTGTACCTACTTGAGCTAAGAGACACAATCCTCACGAGTATCACTTTATGTCCCACAGTCCAGTCTAATCCCTGTCTGAAGAGTTGGCCTCGGGAATTGTTTTAGTTCTGGGCGGACAAAGAATCCAGGGGCCATGCTTTCCGGGGTTCCTCTAGTCTGAGACCATTTAGTCTGGTCTTCTTACTAGAATTTGAGTTCTGCACCCCACCTTCCTCCTGCTGCATCCGGGATTCTCTGTTGTGTTCCCTGTCAGGATGGTCATTGGTGGTAGCCAGGCACCATCTAATTCTTTTGGTCTCAGGCTGATGAAGTCTCTGGTTTATGTGGCCCTTTCTGTCTCTTGGGTTACTACTTTCCTTGTGTCTTTGGTGTTCTTCATTCTCCTTTACTCCAGCTGGTTGGGGCCAATTGATGCATCTTAGATGGCCGCCTGCAAGCTTTTAAGACCCCAGACGCCAGTCACCAAAGTAGGATGTGGAACATTTTCTTAATAAGCTCTGTTATGCCAATTGACCTAGATGTCCCCTGAAAGGATGGTCCCCAACTTTGTTCCTTTTTATGGCTGAATAATATTCCATTGTATGCATATACCACATTTTGTCCATCCATTCATCAGCTGATGGACACGGGTTATACAGGGCTGCTATGCACATTCTTACACAAATTTTTGTTTGAGCATCTGTTTTCAATTGCTGGGTCATGTGGTAATTCTATGTTTAACTTTCTGAGGAATCACCAAACTTTCCACAGCTGTTGCACTGTTTTACATTCTCCTAAACAACGGGTGAGGGCTCCAATTTCTCCACACCCTACCAGCACTAGTTATTTTATTTTTTTAATAGCTGTCCTAGTGGGTGTGAGGTAGTATCTCATTGTGGGTTTGATTTGCATTTCCCTAATGACATCTCTTCATGTGCTTGCTGGCCATTTATGTATCTTCTTTGGAGAAATGTCTATTTAAGTCCTTTGCCCATGTTTTAATTAGGTTGTATTTTTGTTATTCAGTTCTAAGCTTTCTATTTTCTTGAGAAGGTTATCTAATGTCTATTTTTTTCTTCCTCAAAGAGCAATTTTTTTGTTTTATTTATTATTTCACTGTTTTTCTGTTTCAACTCATTAATCTCTTTATCTACATGAATTCCTTCCTTCTGCTTTCCTTTGGTTTATTTGTTGTTCTTTTAACATCTTCAGTTAAGATGTTTGATTCATGTATTTTCATTCTTTCTCGTATCTCCTTTACTTTTAAATCAAAAAAGAGAAGAAAATCCCAAAGTCAAGTTCAAACAGTCACGGTGGCTGTAGAGTCTACTATCACCTATTACCAATGCTCAGGGAAGATGCACGGCCTTTAAAACAGCTAGCTGGATCAAGAATGTGGAGGCGGGGAGAGGAGAGCCCCAGGGGAGAGGTGTCAGTGTGGCTTTAATGTACCAGGTGGTAAACATCTTCTTCCCTCTCCTCCTCAATCCAATGAATTAATATACAGCTTCTGATGGGTAAGCAATTCAGAGTTCAAATCTAATTATGAAGGTGCTGTAGCCTGAGATCACCCACGAGAAAACAAAAGTGACGGCTAAGGGTCTATGGTACATGGCAAGACACAAGGGAGGAACTCAGGGTCACCAGGAACAGGACAAGCTGAAGGACACTAAAGTGACCAATTTTTACGAAGAAAAAGAAGTTCCTATGGACATCACAGGGTTAGTGACAGGATATCAATGCACTGGTTATGTTCTCTTGAACCAGAAGAAGACAGATTCCAAACTACATTACATGGCGGAGTGAAGAGGGGATGAGTCCATCGTATAAATATGGCTCTCCAAACAGGAGGGGAGGCATTAGTAAACTTCCACACGGATGGAACCTTGTTAGGGGCTTAACAAACTATACTTTTAACCTTAATGTACAGCTGGAAGACGCAGACTCAGAGAGGCTAAAACACTTGCCCAGTGTAACTCAACTGGAAGTAGGAGATTCTGAACTCAAGTCTCTGAAACTCCAAAACCTATGTTCTTTCTACTATGCCAACAGCTTTCTGCCTGTTGGCTTAAAAGACATAATGTGAGTAGAAATAATTTAGTTTGAACTGATGAAGTTTCAGTCCTTAGAACTGAAAAGGGGGAATAAGCCAGTAAAAGTTGAAAGGGACCATGTCAAAGACCTCCTCACCATTTGGGGGAAGTCTGCCTGAACTAATGAAAAATAGCCCACTTAAAATAAAATGCAATTTAAATACTTGTGGAATAATGACTAGCAGGTTAACAAAGTGCTGCCTCACAAAATTTCTTGGGAAAACTATTTCAGTTATTGGGTAAGAATAATTTTAGTGATCACATAATTGATGTGTATAAATGGCTTTTTTAAGGTGTTTAAAAGTGCTCGAAGAGTCAGTAAATACAAGTTAGACAACTTTTGTTAACAGACTCGTCTCTCAGAAACAGGAATGTGGCTGTAACTTGGTTCACATTGGAATAATTCCAAAGTCTTTATCAGTGGAGTCTGCGTTCTTGGGTCACCTATCAAGTCCTAGCAATCTCCCCATCTAATTCAAAGCCCATCACATCCTTTCCAGAACACAGCGAGAAATTCCTGGGTCTGGCAGGTGACATGCACTGGTCTGAGTTCTCTTTACATAATTCCCCTTGACCTAGGCCACCAGTTTCATTGGAACCTGTTTATGGGTGGGAGAAGAAATGGGAATCACATATCAGCTACCTAGTTAATACTAACTGAGGGAACATAAATCCCAAACTTTAAAGAAGTATACTCTTTGATCTAGCAGTTTCAGTTGTAGGGATATAACCTGTAGATACAATTGCACACATGTAATGAACATGGATGTTTACAGTAGTGAAAAACTGGAAACAAATATAAATCATTAGGGAGTTATTTAAATAAATTATAGTATAATAATGGCTCTGCTACTGAGAGCTGGTCAGGTTGTTAAACTACGTGTGCCTTCGTTTCCTTATCTGTAAAATGGGGTAACAGTTTTACCTCTTCGGCCTGTTTTGGAAGTATATAAATTAACATCAGCTTAGCACTTAGAATAACATCTGGTGGTGGTATTATTATTATATTATTATTACTGCATTCATATAATAGAATTTTATACAGCTAATAAAAGGAAGGAGGTACATTTGAATATACTGATGCGGGAAGATCTTCAAGCTATATTAAGTTTTAAAATCTTACAAATGGAATGAAGCCATTTTGAAAGAAAAAGCACACATGTACACACACCATAAGTGCATGCACAGAAAATGTCTGGCAGGAAACATGTCGAATTGCTCACGGTAGTCACCTCTAGAAAACGGCTTGGTGGGAGAGGCTGAAGGCTTTTACTTTGAGGAGGGGGTGGCTTAAAAGATGTTAAATACCTTTACAAGGGTTGCAGGATACACAATTCTAAAAAGTTGTTACCATTAGCGGTTTTCCATTTCAGTTAGGAAAAGTGAAGGAACACTGAGAAATTAACTGATTTGATTCAGTCAGAAGCACCTGTGCCTGTCTAACTTCAAAGAACCAACTCTAAGTTTAGGAGCTTTTATCAAATGAGTTCAAGTTGACCAAGTGGCAATACAGAGGTCACTAAGAAAACGAAGTCCTTCTACAGTGACACAAATCTTTTCTCTCTCGTTGATTATAAACCCAAAGGAAAGATACCAGAGGCAGCAAAAGGAAACTGGAGACCTATCTGTGGGTACTGACCCTGGCCCATCATCAGACAAGACTAGAACTGGCCACATCTGCTACGGTAGGCAGGACTTCGGTCAGCTTGCCCCAGCCACATTCCACAGACCCGCGCACGACACAGACAAGGGCACATCAATATCGAGTAGCACAGGAGAGCAGCTTCCGCATCTCAGACTTTCTCTGGGAAGCCTTACCATCTTGCTTTTCACGAGTTCCTCGATTGCACTGACAAGCTCGGCGGCACTCGGCGTTTCGGAGCTGGTGGGGCGGACTAACAACCGAGAAGAGGCCTAAGGAAGAAGTTCAGAAAGAGACAAGGGGGAGGGGGATGCCTCGCATTAGTAACTGGACAGACAATACAAGCTCTGCATGCTCGATCTCGTTTTAAAAGTAATTCCAGACAAAAAGACCACAGGTTTGTCTTTGTTTGCATTTATTTAAAGCCATCCTTTTTAATTTACAATATTCTGACAGGAAACATTAAATAAGACCTGCTCTGGGATACACGTGGAAAGCAGACTAAGTCTGTTTTCAATCCGCGGTCATGTAACATCGTAAGGTTTTTCAAAGAGGTGACTGGGCAGGGAATATTCTAGCTGTAACTTTTGCAATGCTGGCCAGGCTATTGGTTAAGGAGAAAAAAAAAAGAAAAGATAAACAGAGTCTGATCACCGGAATAATGAAAGACTTAAGGTCTAATGAGTGAATCCTTAAATAATCAGGAACAGAAACAGCGTAATAAAAATGGCTTAACTGTGTTTCTGGGGTTGAGAAAAGAACCAAAGAAAAAAGAAAGGGAAGGGAAGGAGTCAGGGAGCAGAGGGGGGACAAGCTCACCATTTTCTGTGCCATCCATTTCCCCAAGATTAGTGCAGAGTACAGAAGATCTGCAGCCTCACAAGCTACCAGATGCCATTTATGGCTAGAATAGAGGGTGTAAAGGGGTCGACAGAACGGGGGCTGGGGGAGGGGCTACTCAAGTCCAGTCTCAGTAATTGGCAAACGGTGCGTTTGCAGATTACTTGCGCTGTGGATTAACTGAAAACTGGAAGAGGGCGTAATATGAACCTTGCGTCATATTAAGGACAGCCGGGACACATGCGACACAGGTGAGCTGTCCTAACGGTGCAGTTGCCATGTGAGACACACGGATTCATACATGTACCATGGGGCTTTCACATGTGTGGGTCAGAATGTGCACTTCGCAAAACAAACGTGGGTATGCTCTAATGAAGCTTGGAATATGGAGGGAAGAAAATAAAAGGGGGGGGAAGAAAAAGTCAAATGGCAAGGTAAGGAAATTGAGCCAAAACAGACACGGAACACAAATCAATGTAAGGCTGCAGTGAAAAGTTAACAAAAAGAGAAAACAGAACAGAACAAAAAATTAGTCACAAGGTAATACACCGTCTGGGAATATCACTACAGATTTTTTTTTTTAAATGAAGAACTGCTATAGTAATACTCGATGAGGTAACACAACAACCCACTCATGAGTCTGGCGAACAGAAGACGACAGTGCGGCTCACTCTTAAACGGAGAAAACCACGCTCTTATTTGGTGAATACGTCAACGCGGCCTCCCACCTCGCTGATGGAGAGCCACCCAGATTCAAGCATTTCTGCTCCTTCCTTTTAAGAAAGGTATAGCTTAGAATGTTCTGCCTAAATAGTTTAGGAGTTGTCAGAAAAAGAGCATGGCCCGGGTGTCCGGCCAGTCACTCTCTGGACACGGGGACCAGGTCCTTTCTCACCTAGGGGCCTCCCTTCCTGTCCACCCCCGCAACAGCACACAACCACCTAACCAAGTCCTTCACTTGCAGCCACCCTTCTCCGACCTGCACTCCCGTAGGCTGGCCTGAGTGCTAAAAAGGGGGGAGGAGACAGAGTTCTACAAAGAAGGGGCTGAGGAACATCTGATTTTGGATAAATCTAATGTTAGACGTAACACAGCTGCTATTGCTGGGCTCACAGTGGTCAGTTACTGGAGTGCAGAAGATTCTGGGTCAGCAAAACACAGGCAACCCAGCAAGTGCCCACTTTAGTATCACTGATGAGGAGAAGAGGGGAAGGGGAAGAAAAAAAAAAAAAGGGAAGAAAGGAGGGGGAAAATGTGGAAAACATCTGTTTTATTCAGAAAACTTAGTTATTGCCAAAAACCAAACCAAGACAAAAGCAAAATCACCAGTAATGACTTCCTAGCATGGTTTCAACATCTGACAATTTTGAGGAGCACAGTGGGGCCAGACTGTTAGATAGGGAGGGCAAGCTACATTGAGCAGGCTTCCTTTTTGCAATTTTGTTTTCAGGGTTCTGCAATTGGGATGTTTGAGATCGTTTTAGGCTATGAAAGGGCTCAAGAGATAAACTGATTTCTTTGGCTTGAAGCCTCTGCAAACATTTAAAGAGAAGATTCATGGCTCACGACTCACCCCTATACTTTTATAACTATCCCTGCACTCCAGTATGCACGCTGATCCTGCAGACTCACGTCTGACGTGCTGGGAAAGCAAACGGGCGGCAATATAATCTCATCTGAAAACAAAACCTACGTGCCAAAATGGCCCACAGAGAGAACGAGAGGCCTAGTGTGTTGGTCCAGTGTCTCAATTGCAGACGGCCTATGATTTCTCTGACTGTTCTCTCAGGGATTCTTGTCAATGCATGGAGGAAAATCAAAATCACTTTGAAAGTAACCATTACTGAAGGATCATTAGAATGCGTGGGCCTATTGATACGGCCACACACGCGTGAGAAACTGCACGCAGGGCACTGTTTATCCCAAATGGACTTCGTTATTTACACAGTGGGGTGAAGAGCGGCTGAGTCAGCTTGGAAAAGCACCGTGTCTCCTCGGCGTCTTTTCCAGAACCACGGGAGGCTCACGCTCCTGCAAGGAGGCGGGTGCGCAGCTCAGACCCCCAGGGAGCCCTGCCCCCCTTTACCTTGTCATCCTGCGAGTCCGGCTGGAGGAGGCTGTGCTGCTGAATGGCCATGGGTGGGGGCAGAGGCACGGCATCGGCCCCCTCCTCCCCTTCCTCTTCTCCACAGCTCTGCATCCCGGAGGAGGAGGACTTGGAGAGGGTGCCGCTGCTGAGGCCCTCGTTCCGGCCCCTCTGAAACCAAACCAGTACGTGCGTGTTACATTCTAGGCCACGACCGTCAACGCCGGTTCCCGGACACTGAGCTCCACGGGGTTAACCGGGAAAGTGCAGCAAGGGCAGCAACTGAGAGGACGGAAGATGGGAACAAATGTGACTTTTCATTCCCAGCCTTCTATCCAACTGTCTTGCTTGCCAACTTGCATGAGAGAAGCCAGTGAGCGTGGCTTTTGAAGGGACTGCCGACAGGATCTGTCTGGCTCTGAGCACAGTTCATCTTCAACCAGCCAACTACAAAGGTTCAAAACTGGGAACCATAACTCTCACGTCAGTTCCATTCGTCTGGGCTAGCTCCTTTTATTTCTGGTACTTTGTTCAGAGTAAAATTTACTGAAATAATGAAATGAGGGTATAAAAAAAACTATAATCTAAAATGCATTTTAAGAATCTGAATTAAGTATCACATTCATTTTCCTCCTTTCCTGCTTTTAGAAAAAGAATTTCAGTTTTGTTTCTACTAAGAAGACAGATTTATAAAATGGATCCATGAACACGTAATGAACATGTACCAATTGACAGCCAATGACAAAAATATGCTCAGGAATAAAACCAGCGGAAAACACAAATCTGCAAAAGAAACGAAATGATACAAATCTTCTCTCTTCCCTCTCTGCTTTTTTCTTTTTCAAGTCTGGGAGGGACTTGGGGAGTCCAAGCTAGAAATCCCCAGGGCATCTCACTGATAGGCCCATGCCGAAAGGCCCACCTGTGGATCATGAGGGCATCACTGTTCTTCCGGCAGAGCTTAAAGCCCCTCTGAACAAATGGACATTTTAAAAACTCCTGCTATGAGTCAGAATCGACTCAATGGCAACGGGTTTGGTTTTTGGTTTTGGCAGACTTACCTAGGTTTATCTTTGGTGACGTGGGAATATTCCAGCGTTTAAAATGATTGACTGCTAACCAAAATGTTGCTGGTTCAAAACTACCAGTGGCTCCATGGGAGAAAGATATGGCAGTCTGCTTCCATAAAGATTTACAGTGAGGTGTGAAAGGTTGCTTTTGTGTTAGAAGACCTTTCTAGCCATGGTCTTACAACTCCCACTTAAATGATTGTGCACGACTGTGCAGATGTGGTACCTGCGGTCCACCAAGGGGACTGGTCAGTTGTGCCATCCTGCTGGGCTTGAAATGAGCCACCTCAGAGGCAGGAGAGAGAAGAGACCCCCACCACCAAGGAAGGAGAGACCGGCAGGAGAGACCCGCAGGAGATGGCATGGTGGGCTTCCCGGCCCACAGAGTAAGAAAGCAGAGTGCCTTTGGGCAGAGACTAAGGATCAGGGAGAGGCTTGTCTGCGAGCACGGCTGAGAAGAGGCTGCCCTGATTAAAGAACTATCCTTGAGTGTTCCTGAGCCTGAATTGTAACCTGTTACTTCCCTAATAAACCCCATAATGGTGAGTATGGTCTGTGAGTTCTGTGTGGCCACTGCAATGAATTATTGAACCTAGCAGACAAGCAGAAGCCTGCCGTGGGAGGGACGGTTGGTGTCAGAATCGGTAAAGATGGCAGAGAGAGGAGGCATGTCTGACCCCTGTCTCATAGGAATCAGCCTTGGGCTATTGATCTCGATTCTCCTTCCCCCTTGTGAAGTCAGAGGAGATCAGACACGACCCCCACACCATTTTTACAGGTCTTGGAAACCCCATGGGGTCATTACAAGTCGGAATTGACTTGATGGCATTGGGTGGTGGTAGTGGGTACTACTGGGCTAGCAAAGTAAATTAGATATTTTCTACTCAGGGTAAGATATAAGTGTAGATAGTGAGGGAAAATAAATAAATAGGAGGATGCAAACATTCTTCAAATCCTTCCAAGGCGTTTTAGTGCTAACTCAGGGACTTCTTAATCTTTTGCAACACTAAGCGGTACCCGCTGGCCTTGCCTACGTGGTAGAAGTGAAGGAGAGCAGGGCTGCAGTAGCTCAGCATCCACTTCCTTCTAGAGGAGGCATGGGGCTGGCCCCGCCTCAGAAGAAAAGCTCGAGGTCGTCTATTTCTGTATGAGAAGCCATGGGTGGTCTCTCCCATGCTTACATAGGAGCAACTATTTCATGTCTTGTTCCCACTGAGTCTAACAGTCCGCTTAGCGGAGAACTTAATGGGCATACCTGACTCTTACAATTTCCAGGTACGTGTAGAAAAACATGCAATTAAAACTAAGCTAAAAGTAGGAGGGAGTCCCTGGGTGGGCACATGGTTATTAACACACTCGGCTGCTAACAGAAAGGATGGGGGTTTGAGTCCACCCAGAGGTGCCTTGGAAGAAAGGCCTGGTGATCTACTTCTGAAAAATCAGCCTTTGAAAAACCTCATGGAGCACAGTTCTACTCTGACACACACGGGATCATCAGGAGTCAGAGCAGACTCCATGGCAACTGATAAAGACGAAAACAGGACCAAATTAGTTTATCTATGTTGTTAATTGCCACCAAGTCGATTCTGACTCATGATGACCCTGTGTATACAGAGTACAATGGCTCCAGAGGGTTTTCAAGCAGACTGCCAGGCCTGTCTTCTGAGGGTCCTCTGGGTGGGTTTGAACCGCCAATCTTTCAGCTAGTAGTCAAGTGCTTTAACTGTTTGCACCACCCAGGGATTCCTTTAGTCACGAGACAAGTGACTAATTCCTAAACTTAAAAAAACAGAGAGAGAGAAAACGTGGGGTCTAGTGTTTGGCCTTGCACAATTTAAACCAGCCATAGTTAAGCCCACACAGACCCTCACCTCTTCAATGGTCTCGTCCTGGGGCGTGGCCGCGCTGTCGTCTGAGTCTTTCTGAGAGCCCGCATCGACACTCTTGCGGACCTCCCTGCTCTTCTTGTGTTTGTGGGCCAGCTTCTTCACGTGCCCGTCAGCCTTGCCACTGCTGAGGCGCCGCACGGGGCTTGTCAGCCACTTCCTCAGGGTGTTCCCTGGACGCTTGGGGCCGGGTGAGCTTTGGGCCCCAATCATATGGGGCTGAAGAGACGCTACGGATGCAGGTGGACTGGCATCGTTACTGGAGACGGAGAGCGAGTCTGTCAGGATGAGAAAAAAACAGAAGTTTTACTGAACATCACAGAAATCCTTACAGTGTGGAAGCCCACGCTTTCCGGGCACCATTTTTCCAGATGCTTTAGTACCGCCCAGCGGTGTGTGGGGTGTGGACAGACTGCTGAGAGCTTTGCTGACTGGATTCACCACCAAGGTGCAAATATAAGGGACCACCACACACACGTACTCTCTCTCAATGTTTACCAGACTTGAGTGCTGCTACAGGTGACCTTTCTCAAGATGTACCTCCCTCCAAAAACACCCACATCACCGATCCTGAAGACCTGTACCATTCTCACACAGACTTAAAATGTCACCATTATGCAAAACATCACAAAGGCATTGCAAGACAGAATTTTAAATCATGTTCATGCATTTTCTTGATGAGCTAATACAAAGCAAGAAGAATTTAAAGGAAATTAAAAAATTTTTAAGCTCCATCAATTGACATACTTATCACAAATGAATCCTGTCAGATCAGTATATTAGTTTGACTCACCATCAGTAAATAAAAGTACAAGTATGTACTTTTATATGTAAAGGTATAACTTTGGGTAGATTTGACTTGGTCAGACTTTGTGACAAGCAGCACACATTTGGATGGTTGCTTCATTCAATGTCAAGAATGAAGTCTGTGGCTGTGGAAAGAGTAAAGCTCAGGGCTTGCTGGGAGATCAAGCCCCTGACCCACTGGTCACAGCTAGACTCCCTTGAACCATACAAACATACAGCATCCTCACCATCAGCCTCAGCAAAGTCACTTCACATGATGGAGTAAATGCCAGCAATAACTGAAAATATAGCAACATACTTTTTATTTTAATTGTGGTGCTTCAAGTGAAAGTTTACAGTTCAAGTTAGTCTCTCATATGAAAATTTATATATACATTGCTTTGTGACCCTAGTTGCTCTCCCTATACTGTGACAGCACACTCCTTTCCACCCTGGATTTCCCATGTCCCTTCAACCAGCTCCTGACCCTCTCTACCTTCTCATCTCGCCTCTGGGCAGGAGCTGCCCATTTAGTCTCATGTATCTACTTGAGCTAAGAAGCACACTCCTCATGAGTATCATTTCATGTCCCATAGTCCAGTCTAATCTTTGCCTGAAGAGTTGGCCTCGGGAATGGTTTAGTTTCGGGCTAATACAGTCCAGGCACCATGTCTTTCAGGGTCCCTCCAGTCTCAGTCAAACCATTAAGTCTAGTTTTTTAACCAGAATTTGAGTTCTGTACCCCACTTTTCTCCTAGCAACACGTTTTAAAAAGGAATGTGAGGAGATGGGAGTCCTCCGCAAATAACCAAAATTCTCTACAGAAAATACGTCCAAATGAACCCTGTCACTGCACCTCAAAAATTAAACCCAGTCAAGCCTGGGCTAATGATTTCTCAAGAGAAAAAAAATGGAACCAAAAAATTCAGGTAACAGCGCTCAACAAATCCACAGACCTGTGCTGAGGTGTTACTTCACAAACTAAAGACCAGGGACCTCGGACCCTGCCTGGCCCCTCCTGAGCCCTTGATGCTGGCTCTACCACAATTAAATGGAATAAAATACTTTAGAAAATGGGATGATGGAGAAGAGTAAAATCATTCGCTGTGCTTGTTAATTTCTTAAATCTTTTACAGTCTTTTAAAAGTAAATCAAAATCAATCCTTGGAAATAGTCCTTTAGACAGACACCTGTATTAGCTGTATTTACTTCTGTAGCACTGGAGACAATTGCGTGCAGCAGTTGAAAAGCAAGAGAGTTAATTCCTCCCAATCCTGCGATTATGTGTATAGAGAGTCAACACCCATCTCCCACTAATGTTCCAGACGCTTGGACTAGACAGTGGATACCACCCGTCTAATTGCTGTCCGTTCCTTCCTTGGCCCAGCCCATGGATCACTAAAGGGTATAATCTTCCATAAACAGATGATACATTTTAAGCAGGGTCACTCATTCTTAAAAATCTAGTTTCTCAGAGGCAGACTTTGATTAAAAATGAATCAATATTGCATTCTGGTTTAGAATAATAACCTCCCTCCCATGTACGTATATAAGACCTGGGTGGGGGGGCAACCGTTGCCCTTGAGTCAATTCTGACTCATAGCAACTCTATACGACGAGTAGAACTACCTCACAGAGTTCCCAAGGAGCGCCTGCTGGATTTGAACTGCCAACGTTTTGGTTAGCAGCTGTAGCTCTTAATCACTATGCCACCAGGATTGAGAGCTATTAAAACGTTTGCATACTGACAAACATAAGCCTCACTCTTCCTGAGGTACCGTCCAGAAGAGGTACAGAAGGATGAAATTGTTAAAGTGTTCATGCAGTTAATACCACCTGGGAACTCTCTCAGGTGCTGATTTAGGCTCAAAGGCGGGCGAGGCAGACGTGGTCCCGAACTTCAGGGATTCTTGGTATAGTAATGACAGAAAGGACAAAGAGAGGAGGAAGGTTTGGCTTATTCACATGCCCCGTGACAATTTATTCACTTTTTTTTTTTTTTTTTTAAGCCCCCACTATTGTCAAGACCCTGTGCTGGGCACAACAGGTGACATATTCACAGTCATTTACTGGCCATGGCTTGGAGCCATGCCCTGTGCTTGCCACTGGGACAGAAAAGAAAAATCTAGTCTCTTCACTTGGGGGACCCACCACATAGTGTTTCCTGGGATCACACAGTTGCCACACCTGCAGGAATGTGACACATGGCATAAGAGAGGCACAAACCCTGTGTGACGCTGACGAGGAAACCGAGAGAGGCATCAAGGAAGGCTTCATGGAAGAGGTGGCACTGAACTAGTCTGAATGAGCTGGGCCTGAGGAATCCGTGCACTAGATTATGGAACCTAAGCTCCACGAGGTCAGGGGCTTTGTCTGCCTCGGTTCATGATGTCCTCCTAGGGCCTCACATGATTCCTGGCATACAGGAGGCAATCATTAAGTACTGAATGGAAATATCAGAAATCACCAGCTGAAGGAAGGGAGCAAGCTGATTCACAGCCCGTATTTTAAGGACAGTCATTTCTTTGACATATATAACCGCAGAGAGGAGGAATTATGACGGTGGCAGCAGGTAGGGGTTGGGAACAGATGGGCTCGGATGTGACGGGGACTCACTAACGGAGCTGTGGCATGCTTGTGGGAACTGAAGGGGCAGGGAAAAGACCAGGGCTCGCTCAGAATAAATCTAAACTGAGTGCAGGTCTTAACACTCATAAGCAGGATACTTACACCACCTAAGTCTACAAAATCAACGACACATATGTCTTTGGGCCTGAAAGTGAGAATCTGGAGGAATTTGGAATGGGAGCAATGAAGCATAGAAGAAGACCCTAAGTGAAAAAAGGATGCCTATCAGGAATTCTGAGTCTCCTTATCCAACCTAAACGTGTGAGGTTATGGAGAAGAGAGAGAGTGGGTTGTGGGCAGGGACCTGGGCAATCTCCCTGCACTATGAAGACCGCCCCACTGCTCAGCAGACCCAACGGGCCTTTGGAAGCGCGAGAGAATGAACTGCAGTCAAATACCAACGCTTTGGAGGACCCAGCTGGCTTTACAAGGATAATGCACAGGGCGTTTTAGCTTTGCCTGGGAAAGGATCTGCTTGCTGTAAAGTGATTTCAGAAGAAGAAACTAGAGACATTACTTCCTTGCTTCTCTCTGTGAGCTCAGCTGCACAGGATTTGGGTCTCTGCACTTTGGGAAGTAGGTTCAAAAGAGATTTCCTTCTTAGCTGGCAAGTCAGGTGTTAAAACCCGGCAGTGGCCTAACCGTTCCTCCGATGGGCAGGACGGAAGCAGGGTGCTCAAGGTCAGGGCTCGCCAGGGTCACAGATGGAACGCGTAGGCATCTGTGGCTCTGCTATTCTGAAGGGAACAAGCAGTTCTCTACCTGAGTTCCATTAATCAAATTACTTAAGTGACAGTATTTCACTGTGCCAGAATAATCAGAGCTTAGAAAAATGCTAGCAGCAAGTTGCAATTACAAACGAAGACTGGAACTTTGTTGAACTTTTTATTTTACCTTGAAAAAAATTTATTTTCAGAAGTCTGATAATATACAGGGAAAATTTCCCCATCTACCTCTAAAATCCACCACTTGTCAGTTTGCTGTACTGTGGTGGCTTACATGGCACTGTTATGCTGGAAGCTATGTCACTGGTATTTCAAATACCAGCAGGGTCACCCATGATGGACAGGTTTCAGTGGAGCTTCCAGACTGGGACAGACTAGTAAGAAAGGCCTAACAATCTGCTTCCGAAAATTAGCCGATGAAAACCCTATGGAATGCAACAGATCATTGTCTGACTCACTTTGGATACGTCATCAGAAGGGATCAATTGCTGGAGGAGGACTTTGTGTTTGGTGAAGTAGAGATCCGGTATGGGAAACCCTTGGTGGGATGGATTGCCACAAGAGCTGCAACAATGGACTTAATCATGCCAGCGATCATGCGGATGAAGTAGAACCAGGCCATATTTCATTCTCTTGTACAGGAGGTTGCCATGAGTCAGAGTCAACGCAACAGCAGCTATCCATCCATCCACCCAGCCATCTATCCCTCTCTAAAATTAGCAGACATTTTGTCTAGTGCAAATCTGATACATTAGCCACTGTGTTTGGTGACTAGCAATGAAAAAAATAACCAAAAATAAAAGTGAAATAGATAAATGACACCTGGTCTGTGCACTTTTGTCTTTAATGATGATGCTCAATTCATGTTACCTAACACTCTTGAAAATACAACAAATTAGGTATTTCTTTTCATATAGAAACTCTTTTTGCCTAAATCAATGGCCTGTTTCTGTGCTCTTTGCTGGGTTGTGACATAATGCATAAATCTGCAGCTTAAAAAGCTTAAAACTTATTTAAACTTAGCACAGTCATTAAGGGAATGAAACCTGCTGTTACTTGAGCCATTGAAGAACAGCCTTTGCCCTCTAGACCAACTGCTCTGTTGCACATTTTAACTGAAATCACATGTCCCAACAGTA